GGGGTCACCGCAGCCCGGGACGCGGCCGCGTAGCTGAATCCCGCCCCGGCGCATCCCCTCCCCCGAGAAAGCTTTTGCACAGATAAACGCTGCAACGCTTCCAGTTTATTTCTACAGCACTCCAGCGAACGGGAAAATACAAAACATGAGTTAGCTTCAAAACAGACAGGGCAGTGGCGTGATGGGATTTTAAATTAACCCCCAAAACCAGAGGGTACACTGACGGATCCGGTTGCAAGAAATCCAGCTTGTAAGTATTTTCCTCGCCAAGCGCGAGCGAGCCCTCGCGACCTCAGGGCGGATGCCAGTGCGGAGTCCCTTCCCGTTTGATGCACGTGCCCTGATACGCTACAAAGACGACGCTTGGGCTGGCCGGTGGCACTCCTGCGGTATTCAGGGCTTCCGCGCTTACATATACCCTGTAGACTCTGCATAATTCCCACTGGCACAGGAACAGGCAAGTGCAGGATTCCTAGAGCTCGCTCCATTTCAGGAGAGACCAGAATGGCAATACTAAATTGGAAAAATTGTTTCCCTCTGCCTGCATAAACACAAAACACGTTTACTTTCTTTCCTGGATCTTATTTCTGCTAACCAGCGCTTAAAACAGCGAAAGCTCACTTCAAGCCACCCTCGCATCCACACGGGATGCTGGCGTGGCTCTTCCCAGTTTGGGCAGACAGTGGAGCGGACAGTTCTAAGCTGTAGCAAACACATTGCAAGCTGGCTCATCCGGGTCTAGTTTCTGGTTTTTAATCGCAGCCAGCTCACCCCACGGGCTCTAATGCAATGACTCCCAAAGGGGCAGGATCCAAGTTATATTCAAGGCAGAGCTTCTGGCAAGACTCGGTCTCTTGCTGCCAAAGCATAAATGAGGATGATGCCACTTCTCTACGTTGGTCCAAGGGCAAATCTGGACCAGGAAGGGACTGAACAGATGCCCTCGGCTGAACCTCCCCCTTCCTTTCTCCCCAGGACAGAGCAGGCAATCTGTGCCCTGGACTCCCACACAGCCGAGCCACAAACCTTGGGAACAGTCCATGCTACTGTCACCAGCCCAACAGGATCCCCTGAAGAAACCTCAGAGGCTAACTGGTTTTCTTCACCCCAGACATGCTCTGCTCAGGCGGCAGGACTGTCTCGATCTGAAATGACACAAACTGGCCCTTCTTCAGCCTCTTCAGGGAAGCGGCAGCGTTGCTCCCAAACACGTTGTCTTCCACTTTGAATGGAAGAGAGGGGAGGCCTCG